ATCTACAGATTCAAAGCAATTCTTATCAAAATACCAATGTCATGTTTCACCGAATTAGGAAAAACAATTGGAAAATTCATATGGAACCAAAACCAAACAAACAAACAAACAAAAAAATCCTGAATAGCCAAAGCACTTTTTTTTGGGACAGAGTCTTACTTTGTTGCCCTTAGTAGAGTGCTATGGGGTCACAGCTCACAGCAACCTCAAACTCTTGGGCTCAAGTGATTTTCTTGCCTCAGCCTCCCAAGCAGCTGGGACTACAGCTATTTTTTTTAGAGATGAGGTCTTGCTCTTGCTCAGGCTGTTCTCGAACCTGTGAGCTCAGGCAATTCACCTGCCTCGGCCTCCCAGAGTGCTGGGATTATAGGTGTGAGCCACCGCACTGCCGGGCCCAGCCAAAGCAATCTTAAGCAAAAAAGAACACAACTATACATATCACATCACCAGACTTAAAATTACACTAAAGGATATAGTAGCAAAAACTCTATGGTACTGGTATAAAAACTGACACATAGCTCAATGGAATGGAATAAAGAACTCAGAAATACAACTATATACCTACAATCAATAGTCTTTGACAAAGTAGTCAAAAACATACATTGGGAAAGGACACTATACAATAAATGGTGCTGGAATAATTACATAGCCGTATGCAGAAGAATGAACATTGGATCCCTGTCTCACCATATATACAAATTAACTCATGATGGATTAAAGACTTAAATGTAAGACCTGAAATAACAAAAATCCTAGAAGAAAATTTAGGAAAAAACTCTTCTGAACATTGACCTAAGCAAAGAATTTATAATTGGACCTCAAAAGTAAATACAACAAAGACAAAAATAGATAAATGGTACTTAAACTAAAAAGCTTCTGTATAGCAAAAGAAACAAAAGAGTAAACAGACAACCTACATGAAGTGAGAAACTATTCACAAACCTTGTAGTCATAAAATGACTAATATCGAGAATATACTATGAATTCAAACAACTCATCAAAGAAAAAGTTAGACAACCCATTAGAAAGGGTGCAAATGACTTTTTCAAAAGATGTACAGATTGTCAAAAAACATATGAAAAGTGCCCTAATCACAATCAATCACACTTTCATATGAAGAATAGATCACAACTATGACCCAAGTTGAAGGAGGGAGGAGTGGGGATGAGAGGAGAGGGGGAGGTCAGATCAAGGGAGGTTGAATGGTGGAATCACACCTATGGTGCATAACGCAAGGGTACACATCAGATATATTAGTATAGAGTATAAATGTCTTAACACAATAATTAAATAAACGAGATGAGGTATATATTAACCAGTGTGATGTAAGCATTGCTAATTCTATATGAAATCAGCACTTTGTACCCCATAAATGCATTAATGTATACAAGATCTATATGTTTATGATTTAATTAAAAAAAGTTTTAAAAAAGAGCTTGTTTGATGCAAAAAAATAAAAATAGTATCACCTCAAAAAAAAAAAAAAGAAAAAGAAAAATGTCCTAATTATCAGAGAAATGCCAATTAAAACCACAATGAAGGCTCAGCACCTGTGGCTCAAGTGGCTAAGGCGCCAGCCACATACACCTGAGCTGGCAGGTTCGCGTTCAGCCTGGTCCCACCAGAAACAATGACAGCTGCAACCCAAAAATAGGCAGGTGTGTGGCAGGCGCCTATAGTCCCAGCTAATTGGGAGGCCAAAGCAGAAGAATTGCTTGAGCCTAGGAGTTGGAGGTTGCTTTGAGCTGTGATACCACAGCACTCTACACAGGGTGACAGCTTGAGGCTCTGTCTCAAAAAAACAAACAAACAAACAAACAAAAAACAATTAAATACTATCTTACTCCAATTAGAATGACCATAACTAGAAAGTCTAAGAACAATAGACATTGGCAGGAATACCATGAAAAGGGAGCACTTATATACTGCTGGTGGGAATGCAAACTATTATAACCTCTATGGAGATCAGGATGGAGATTTCTCAAACAACTATAAGCAAATCTGTGATTTGGTTCTGTAATCCCACTACTGGGTATCTACCCAAAGGGAAATAAATCATTATATCAAAAGATACTTGTACTTAAGTTTACTGTACCATAAGTCACAATTGCAATGATATGAAATCAACCTAAGTGCTCATCAACAAGTGAGTAGTTAAAGAAAATGTGGTGTACATACCACAGAATACTACACAGCCATAAGAAAGAATTAAATTGTCTTTTATAGCAACGTGGATGAAACTGGAGGCCATAATCCAAAGTGAAGTAACTCAGGAACAGAAAAATAAGCGCTGCATATTCTTACTTATAAATTAGAGCTAAACTATGGTACACAAAGACTCACAGAGTGGTATAATGGGCATTGGAGACTCAAAAGAGTAGAGGCATTGAAGTTATGGGTATACTTAAAGCCTAGACTTTTATATATATATATAAAATTATATTAAACTTGTAGTCCCTAAATGTATTAACATTTTTTTAATGGAAATAAAGGGGATTGGGGGAGTAGATGAGGGAAGTGAAGGATGAACAATTACTTGTTAGGTACAACATACACTATTCAGGTGATGGGCATAAAAGCCCAAACTTAACCACTATGCAATACATACATGTAATGGAATTCACCTTGTATCCCCTAATCCTATTAAAATAAAACAAAAAGGAGGGGAAAAATTAAAAAAGAAAAGAAAAAGAAGTTTGGCAATTGCACTGTTAAGAGGATTATTAATAACTGAAGGGACCAGTGAACCAAAGAATTCTATTCTCCCAACTTGGTGGGGTAAGCTCCTTAGCAGGGTGTATTATGGCATCCTAGTATTTTTATCTAATCTGTGGATACATGCAGACACTGGGTACCTGAATCGTATCCAAAGAGACTTAGAGAAAGTGGACTAAACTTTTGCCCAAACATCAATTACATAAGCATCAACACGGTCTAACAGTAATATAGCAAAGAATTTCTAGTCTTTCCCTTGCACTTTTGATCAAAATTGAGGTGCATTTAGAAAAAAAAATGACAAATGCTGTATTGTATTTGTTAATGGTAGGTTAGGTAATTAATCTGCAAGACAACTAATTTTTTTAAAGGGCAGAGACAGATATTCTTCAAGGAGAAGATGGCAAAGATGAGATTTGAACCCTATCACATCACACAGAGGAGTCGGAGTAACTGAGAATGCTTTATCCTCAGAAAAATGTTGAGATAGAACTTGAGGGCTATCTTCAAAGATCTGAAATGTTATGTCTTGGAGACAGAATGTGATTTACTCCATGTTGACTGTAGAGGGCAGACCTGCGACCAAAGGTGATAGGGAGGTGCATTGCCTGACTTGTGGGGCAAGGAGGGACCTTTAGGACAGCTAACATTTACTGAGTGCTCATGATGCATGCAATAAAGTTAAAGTCTATCTGCCTTAGCTAGAAAGCGGTAGATCAAATTCATATTTATTACTCCAAGCATCTCACAGCAGCATCAGTAAAGTCTCCATTTACTGACTACTGATTAAATCACGTCATTTAATAGTTGCCCTCTTGACTTTTATTATTATATCATTACAGTTTTATAGATGAGAAAATAAAGTAATTAAGTTGCTTTCCTGGAATCATCCTGCTTTAAGTTACTGGCTTATAACCATTTGGACCTATGTATTACTGCTACTATTACTGCCTCCCAGAGTTATGCTTATAATAAGGGGTTAGATCAGGGCTGTTCATCAGAAACATAATGTGAGCCATTAATGAGCACCTTATGTGTAATCTTACACTTTGTAGTAGCCTCATTAAAATATGTAAAAAGAAACCAATGAAATTAATTTTAATTATATATGTCTATTTCTTAATGCATTAACTCAACTTATTACATCAAACTATCATTATGAAATAATATAACAAATATAAAAATACTTAGCAAATTGTTTTAAATTTTTTTTTTCACACTAATTCCTGTGTCTGTTTTACACTTCCTTACAGAACATTTTGGATCTAGCCACATTTCAAAGTTCTCAACAGCCCCTTGTGGCTCTTGGCTGCTACAGGGCAGCCAGCACAGGGTTAAAATTTAAATCTCGGGGTGGGGATGGGAGTTGAGGGGAGGACAGAATCTAATAGAGGAGCTTTGCTTTTTACCTTTGATTCTACTGTCTCTTTACCTCAACTTATTTCCTTTGCCATTTAGAAAGGAATACATAGAAACTGCCCTTGCATTTTCTGGTAAAGCCAATGTGGATGTTTCTGAACTGGGAGAGGACAGGTGTTTCTCCCGCAGCCCTCCAACAACTGTTATTTCCCTCTTGCCAGCTACTCTGGGAGTAAACATATTTGATTTCTGCTTTGAAATGATTGAAGAAGGTTGCTTGAATTAAGTCATTTACCCTAAATACCAAATCGGGGGTGGAATGTCTTCCTTTATGTAAAGTTACACAAAATTTGGGAGTCTCTGTCTTCATTAGAAATAAATCCGGTAGTTTCAACTGCAGGGTACGTAAATTACCTGTTCTGTTACTTTTGCCTCTGTCCAAGGGTAGGGGCTGAGCGTCAACACAAACTTACTGGCCTTATAAAGTAGCTTTAAAACAGCCCACCGAAGTTTCCCCTTAAATTCCCAAACCAGTTGCCAAAAATGAAAGCATGTAACAAAATGCCACCCGCTTTAGGCCTCCCGGAGGTGGCGCTGTGAGGGTGACGGAGTTAATTAGTGCCTGCAAAGCGCCGCGTGTGAGCTCCTCGAAGTCATGCTCTGCACACACATTATTTATAGCAGATTTTAGGCGTGCATGGTGTTTGCTATTTCCCTCTTTTTAAACAGGGGGACTTCAAAAAGTCGTGGGCACCCCTCCACCCGCTACCAGGCAAAGTGCAGTGCGCAAGCATCACAGTGCCGGCGCTAGGCGAACGCGCCAACCACGCGTGTCCGGGCGCAGGTGCCGGGGGCGGCGGCGGCAACTCCGCAGCGTCCGCTCGGGAGGAGAGTTCGCGGCTGATCTCGGGATGCCTTGCAGATGCAAAATGTGTCTCTGGCCAGCAGGAGGAAGGAAGAGGAAGTGAGAGCAGCGGCAGCCGGCGGCGCAGCAGCCGGCCGACCCAGAGTGTAAGTGCGTGTGCTTGGGCGAGCGGGAGCGGGCGAGGATGGGCACGGGATAGAGGCACAGCCACCCATACCAACGCGGCCTCGAGCTGGGCGACAGAACCTCCGGCCCCGCTTCCATGATCACAGGTCACCAGATCTCTGATCGCTGGGAACACTTGCCGCCGCCGCCGCCGCTGTCCTGCGACCCCTGAGCAGGTTCGTAAAGTTTCCTGGGTTGGCGCGGTGCCCCGACTCGCTGACCTCAGCGCGGCCGGGGAGGGGGCTGGGACTGGAGCCGGGAGGAGGCGTCTTGCTCCCGGGGACTCCGAGCGCCGTGGACACACTTTTGTTTTCTCCCTGGGGGCGGCGCGGCTAGAGCCGGGGTGGTCGCCGCGCTCTGCGGGGTGAGGGCTGCGGGGCGTTGGGGGCTCTCTGCAGTTGGGAAAGTCAGGGCACAGGGGGGCGGCGGGAATGGGATTGGGAGTGGAGGGTAGGGGTGCTGGAGATGCAGCGCCCTGGGATGGAGCGTAGGGCCCGGGGCTGGGAGCCCGCGGAAGCGTTTTGTCCAGGGTGGGTGGGAGTGGGGCTCTGGAGGGTTGCGCTGCTGGGGTGGAGGTTTGGGGGACAGGGAATTGGGGGCTTGGGATCATCGAGTCAAAATTCTTAGGGCCAAAGACGTGGCTGGTGGTTCGGAGTTAGGTTTTCTTCCTCTCTACCGAATGGGAGCGAATCCTCGGGCGAGCGGGCTCCTGGGAGGGGGCTGTGATGGGCTGGAGAGGAATGGGGGTCCGGAGGGGCGGGAAGAGGGCGTTTTGGGCAACTAGGAACCCCGGGGTAGATTGCTAGTAAATATTCTGCTCCTGCGGACACGCTGATGTCCCCCATGAGACCGGGAAAGGCGATTAGGGGTTTCACAGAGGTCCCGGCATGGGAGAGGGGACGCACCCGGCGCGCTTTCAGAGAAGCGGGCGGCAGCGCGCCAGGGGCCCAAGGGTAGGATTGGAGAGAGGCGGCCGCGATCTTCCGAGTAGCTCTGAGGAAGAGGAAATACAGAACTCAGCCGGCCCGGGGGTGCGCGCGTGTGTTTAGGGTTGGGAAGTCTGTGCTGTGCCGCGGGCGCGCGCAAGGCGGTCTGCGCGTGTGCGCGCGTGTGTGTGTGTGTGTGTGTGCGCGTGTTCGTGTGTGTGTGTATGTGTGTGTAAGAGAAAGAGAGAGACCGCAGGGGGCTTGGCGGCCAGGGACTACCTGCCAAGTGATCCCTCCTACTTTAGGGGCCATTTGAAGTTGGCAACTGGGTTCGGGGTGTCGGCCAGACCTGCACTGACTGACCTGAAGTTCCAGGGCTTGGCACCCCGTGGTGATCCGGTTTAGAGTGGGCTGCTGAGACTCTCTGAGCATATTTGGTGATGTTCTGTGTCTCAGACAGCTGGCCTCCCAACACCCTTGCCATAAAGCATGAGGACCTAATTTTTTATGGTTAAGATGTCAAAGGCGGTAGGGTTGGGCGCTGGGGTGGGGTGGGTGGGGCTGTGGAATAATTTCTGAGTTATCCCCTTAATTCCTATAGCAATAAAAGTAATGAACTGCATTTATCTATTAAATCTTTGAGAGCAACTTTGAGAACTACAGAGACCTAATCCCGTTCAGGATCACTTTGAGGTTGCAAAGGCTGGCAGCTGCGGGGCCTCCTGTGGTCATGGGATTTCAGGTTCTCTCACTTCCCTACCTTCCCAAGGTTGTCTCAAGGATTATTATCCCCCAATTTACAGAACTAGAGATTATAAATTAGGAGGCAGATGCCTTGCAGCCACATAGCAGACATTAAATTTTTTTTAATAACTGACCTTTTGAACCTCTGCCCTTTACTATATGGTACATTTCCTATCTCTGGGAAGCTGCGGTTAAATGTGCATGTTGCCTTTAAGAAAAAATTGAACAGATTGGTAAATTGTGAGGGAATGACCTAGAGCGCTGGGACTCTGGAGGAGTGATTGTGTCAGGAGGTTAGGAAATCTGGGAACAAGAAGTTTGGTAGGTGTCAGAGGGAGGCAGGCTGAAAGGCAGATCTTGGTGGGAGTCTGGGGGATCTTAGGACCCGGGGCGGTCATTGGGCTACAGGGTGGGTAGCTTGGTCTTCCCTTCTATCCCACTTCTTGTTAACTACATCCCCTCCCACTCTTCTTTTCCCCTGAGCTCTCTCCCAGGGCTTTGCACGTGCTATTCTAGAGCTTTCCCCTACATGTCCAAATGGCTCACTCCTCTGCTTATTTCAGGGCTCAGCCCAGTTACCAGTTTACAGGGGGCTTTCCTTGACTGCGTCATATAAAATAGCAGCCAGCCACTCTCTGGTCCTCTGACATTACTCAGTTTTTTCTCTTAGCACTCATTACCCCCTGGTATTATATATTGATTTGTTTTATTTGATTATTATCTGTCTCCCCTGTTAGAAGTTCCAGGAGGGCAATGACTACCTTTTCTTATATATAGCTCCATAACCTAGATGGATTCTGAGCACATAGTAGGTCCTCAGTGCACATTTGTTGATTGACTGGATGAGAGTCAGATGGCTATGTTGGGAGAGGCACACGAGGGAAATACAGTAGAACCTCCATAGTTGACCACTTCCCAACATTGACTATCGCCTCGAGTTGACCTAATTTTCATTGACCAGGCAGGCACCACATGTATGTTTCAGTACACTAGGCCTAGTTTCTTGTGTTGACCCCCTCTGTGTTGACCAGTTTGTGACAGTCCTTTTGGTGTTCAACTTACAGAGGTTCTACTGTATACCAGGAAAATACTCTGGCATCATGACAAGTGAGAAGCCCAGGGAATAGGCTTTTGTTCTTTTCCCCTGGTATTTATTTGCCCCAGGTCCAGCTACTGTTCTTTCAGACTCCATTCTGCCTTGAGTAGATTCCTCCTTTAGAATTTCAGACCCAAGATGTGAACAGAGAGGTGATTCCTTGGGAGATTAGAAAATCAGTACATATTATTAATAACCTATAACCGCTCCAGGTCTGATGTTGCTTTAGAAAAAAAAAATGTCCTCTGAAGAGGAGGGCATGTTGTAGGCACAGTGAAATCAGAGGCATCTGCTCGATCTCATTCTTTTCTCTAAGAAGAAAGGGAAGGTAGAGGAGAGAAGGCTGTGAGGTAGGCAGAAAGGGAAAGCTGTGGCAGGTGCAGGGAAGAGGAGAGGTAAGAGATGCTTAGGAGAAGACAAATAAAAGGGAGAAAGGAGATGAGGGGCTCCTACAAGTATGGCTAAGTCCTAAGCATTTACTGAGTTACTGTTTTGAAGAGAAGATAATACTTGAATGTTTTAAAATAATTTACCCCCTTTGGGTTTTTGGTGTGAGTGGGTAGGGAGTGGTGGGGGAGGGGAGGGCTTTGAAACCCTTGCCAGAGGATGTGGCTGGGGCCGTGTGGTAGGGGCTCTCCTGAGCACACACTTTGCTTACTTCATCATCTTTCTTAACACTGAAGGGTTAGAGATGGTCTTTCTGCTGGAGTAACAATTTCTGGTCCAGATTTAAGACAGTGGGTACCATTAAGGTTTGTAACTGAAGCCTGCAACCACTTTTTAATGCCTGCAACCATCCAAGGGAGATAGTATGGTTTATAAGACGTTCTGTTGAATTTGGAAAAGGTGGGGAATTACTAAACCCACTGCATCACAAAGGCTGAAGTGTTTGCTGCTAATCGTACAGCTCTAGTTCTGTTTCCTTCTCGTCAACCAGGCTAGTGTTTTTTTTAAGCTTAGGGTTGCAACCCATGAGAGGATTAGGATACAATTTAGTAAGTCCAGACCAGCAGTTTAAAACATGAAAGAGAAGATGGAAAACAGTGTTTCACAAAACAGACATTGGATGTTAATGTTGGAGTATCACTCAAAGTGGGGCATTGTGATTTTAAAAGTCTGTTTTAATAGTTCTGGAGGGGTGGCGCCTGTAGCTCAGTGGGTAGGGCACCAGCCACATACGCTGAGGCTGGCGGGTTTGAACTCAGTCTGGGCCAGCTAAACAATGACAACTGCAACAAAAAAATAGCCATGCATTGTGGCGGGCACCTGTAGTCCCAGTTACTTGGGAGGCTGAGGCAAGAGAATAGCTTAGGCCTAAGAGTTTGAAGTTGCCGTGAGCTGTGATGCTATGGCACTCTACTGAGGGTGACATAGTGAGACTCTGTCTAAAATAATAATAATAATAATAATAGTTCTGGAGGAATCTACAGCTTTAACTAACTTGCCAGGGTTTCTGATAAAAATGGTACTGAAGGCCGTACCTTAGGAAATACTTAGCTGTTCTGTTTTATAAAATGCAATTGATTTAATTCCTTGCAAGAGGTGTTATTTCCAGATGTTGAACCAGATGCAGTAAAAATGTCAGCCATTGGCTTAACTTTTGAAAATGCCACTGTTTGTGGACTGCCAGTGTTCTGGGCCCTGAAGCTGCTATCTTAGAGGAACTAGAAACCGAGTGACGTGCTTTTCACTTTAGCGATGCAGAGAGGCAGTAGGACCCTTTGCTTTAACCTTACTTAGAATAAAACTGACAGGATATGCTCTTTTGTCGCCAAGAAAAAAGTTCAGTTTAGAACTTCTAAGGTCTTTTCTAGACACTCCTTTCATATTTTCATGCCTAGTATTCCCCATATGCGTGACTTCAGTTACTTTTAGAGCTTTGCAAAGACAGTTATAATCTTTTCTGGTGGCAGCCACAATTGTTGTGATGCATGATTAGATCAAGCGTTTTCGCCCACCTGGGCTTGGACTGTCTGTCTGAAGAAAAAGGTCCAATGCTGAGAGCTTCAGCACTGTCTAAAATATAAAGATGATGAAGGCCAGCCATGGACAGGGTGTGGCTCCTGTGACATGTGTGTGGCCTGTGATGAGCCTTTGAATATGCCAGCCTGGCATTTTTAGTTCAGCAAAGCCAGCCTGCCTGCACACTGCACACACTAGTTGGTGCAGTGTTTCCTTCCCTGGATAATTCAGGTTGTCATTGTTAACAATTAGAACTTAATCTGTAATAGCCAGAACTGAAGCCTGCAAAGCCATATCATGACCTGTGATTAAATTCACCACTTGTATCTTAGCTCTGTGTTTTCCAACCTTTTAGAAGATAAGTGCAAGTATGGTCAGAGCAGAATTTTGTTACTGGCCTAAAGTGGGGTGAACAGTTAAGTACCAGATTGAAATCTGTGAGAGAGAG